CGACAGCGCGCTCGCGGGGCTCGGGTACATAAGCGGCGACGACGGCGCCAGGGCCTCCAGGGCCTCGTCGTCTTCTAACTCGGCCGCCTCGCCGAGCAGGGGTCTCCCGCCGCCGCGGAAGTCGGCCCACGCCTCGTAGTCGTCGCTGGCGTGCGAGGCCGGGCTGGCGGCCCACTTGGCCGCGGCAGGCAAGGGCCCTGGGGCAGGCACGCCCGGGGGGCTGTCGTCGGGACTTCGCTCGGGGGCCTGCAGCTGCTTCTTCTTGCTGGCCTTGCCCTTGATGGGAAGAAACTTGGCCCCGTTGTCCATGGACACTGCCCTGCGCCGCGGGGTCTTGCCTGTCTTTCCGCCCTCAGGGTTCAGCATCCACCAGGAACTCTTGCCTGTGCCCTCGTTCTGCACGCGGATGAAACGGGTGTGCAGCGACAGGTTGTGTCTGATGGAGTTCTGTGGCCGGAGACAAGGGCATGGGTGGGAAGTGGGAAGTGAGGAGGCCATGGGGAAAGAGGGGAAAGTGACGGGAAAAAGAGGGGGAGAAAACAGAAAAAAAGTGAGAGGGTAAGAGAATGGAGAAGAGCCAGAGGGGGGAAGGGGAGGAAATAGGGACGAAAGGGTGAGTGGGGGTGGGGTGGGGAACATGTGTAAGTACTAGGTAGGACAAAACCAGCATACCCGTCCTCTACCCTAAAACCCCACCCACACAAACACAGACACTGCCCAGAGGGTGGGGCTGGAGCTTTGCGCCTAGTTTTTCCCTGGAGTAGTGACCAACTCTGAGGGCCACTCTGAGCCTGCAGGGACCTGCAGCAGGAGAGCAGGACCCCCTCTCCCCAACTCAGCCAAGCCCCACGCAGGGCCAGCCAGGCTGCCAGGGCCCCCAGCAGATTATGTAAGGGCTCATGCCGCCGCGGCTCATTTGTCCGCCCCCCTCCCTCCCAGCCTGGCATGGCGCCAGGAGCCCGAAAACCCAGGGCTCCAGAAATCAATCTCGCGGTGACTGATTAAGCCCTGTTTAGAACTAATTGCTCTTTCGTGTGTGGGGAGAATAAATTACCTGCTTTAATTTCGTGTCTTTTAAATGCAACTGCAGGTAGAGAAGACTGTTAACCCTTTGCTGGGAAGGCCTGGCCAGGGAAAGCAGAATAGGCTGGGGTTCTCCAAGGTGGGAACAGGCCCAGGCCCGAATCTTTTCAGAGATCTCCCCCCACCCCCACCCCCAAATCCTCTGAGCTTCTGCGAACTCCACACAGGTCTTGGATACCATCAAGCCCCTCACGGGTCAACCTTTGGCCAAGGAGATCTCAGCCCCCACCCCTGCTCAGTGCCTGCCTTTAGGCAGCCTGCCCTTTAGGCAGCATGTAACCCACCCTCCCTTCCTGTTTCATCTGACCCGCTGCAGCTCTGCCCTCAAAGCCCCTCCCTGGTGGAGCCTTCACAAAACCCCACAAAGTAGGTGGCATAATCACGTATACAGACAAGAAGACCTAGGCTCAGAGAGGTGAAGTGGCTTGCATAGGCTCCAGAGCCCTTTCTGCTGTCCCTCGGTACCTCCCTGTGCTTCACCTTGGCCACCCCCGCACATATCCTCCTCTTAATTTCTGCTGTGCCCATTTCCAGTGCTCCCCACGTTACTGCCTGCTTTTGCCAGGCCTGTCCTGGGGACAGGGGAAGGCAGGGGTGTCCACAGCTCCGCTGACCTGGCTCCCCACGGGAACATGGAGTAGAACTTCAGCTGTGCCTGCCACACCTCACCTCTGGAGCCTCCCACCTGGTGGCCTCAACTGCCAGCTCAGGCACTGCTGCACAAACAGCATGGGCTTGGGTATCAGAAGGCTGGGCAGACGCCTGGCTCTTTGGCTGCCTAGCTGTGACTACGGGCTATTTACTCAGTTTCCATGTGCCTCAGTGAACTACTCTGAAAAAATGGGATACATTCAGAAACCACCTCATAAGGCTGTTAGACTGTTACATGAGATAATGTGTGTATGAGTGTCTGGTGAACAGACCAGGTGTGCACAAGTGTTGGTTAAATCCCTCACTCTAGCCAGAAGACTTCGTCTCTTAGGTCACCCAACTGACTTGCTCTGTCTCTATCTCCTTAATATCATGCCCCAAGTATAGCTGTGTTGGGCACCAACGACTCTGGTTAACTGGAATTACCCCATTTCATATTCCAGGGAAGGGAGGTCCAGAGGCATGATGTAACTTGCTCATGGTCCCACAGCTAGGCAGCCATGCCAGGCACCACTCCAGCTCTGCCCAGCTCATGGACCTGTATGCCCAGCCACACTCGTGACACTGTTCTGTGAGGGTTCTTCCTCCTGCCTCCTTCCTACCAGTCCCCAGGAGGAGGGGTCCTTCCTGCTGCCCAGGGTACCCTCCCACCCCTCTCCCGAGCTGCAAGTACTGACCTGACTCTTCAGGGCCCTAGGCTCCCTGTTTCTGGCACTTTCTGGCCTTGGGAGGTGACAGCTGGGGCTTGCCAGCCTTGCCCTGGCCTGGCTTCTCCTGGAGACCTGAGAGGAGGGGAACTAGACCCGCAGAGAGTGGTGCTCCCTCAAGTAGATAACCTCTTCCCTGTTCCTGCCCCTGCACCTGGCTCCCCAGCCCCTCCCCCACACCTGTGTTCAGGGTCCTTGGAGGCTTGGGTTCTCCTCCCCCACAGGACTGTCTGGCTTACAGAGGCTCCACCTCCCACCTCCCCACTTCTCCAGCTGGAGGTCAGTATGTGCCAGCCTAGTTCAGGGTGCTGGAGGTGGGGAAGGAGGAAGGACATCACCCGGTACCAGCACCTAGTCAGAACCTGCCTATTCAGGCCTGGGCACTCTAAGTACTTTATCTTACATAATCATTATGTCAAATTCCAAAGAAGTCAGGGATTGTGATCCCTATCTAAAGATGAAGAGAGTGAGGCTCAGGGATGTTTAAGTGAGTTGCCAAAGTCACACAGCTCCTTAAACAGAGCCAGGTAGTGATCTCAGGTTGGTTTTACTCTGAGGACATCACATTCCACTATGGGAGAGGGAACCAGGTCGGAGAATTCCCAAAGAATCTTAGGAAGCCAGTACTCTAGTGTTCCTCAAGCTTTCTACGTAAACTATCTCTAGAAGCTGGTGGCGTGGGAAAGCTTGAGACATGTTGCAAGGTCAAAATCTCCTACAAGTCTTGTGCTTTCTTTTTAGAATTCAAGGGAATTTTGCATGTACTTTGCAATACAACCACATTTTCTTTAAAAACATTATTAAAATGTTTTGGATAACCACAAAGACATGCTCCAGGCCTATGAAGGTTTGCATCCTTTCCCCCTCTGTCCCCTACCCAGGCAGGTATCCCTGAGAGCTCAAGCCCCAGCCTGAAACATGGCTGGTCCACCCCAGGGAGAAGAAAGGACTTGCCTAAAGTTGTCTAGGACCGGGTGTCAGAGCACAGAAGTGAGCCTTGGCCTCCTAACACCCAGCCCGGTGGTCTTCCCACTCTACCAAGTCTGACCTAGGGCAAGTCCCTCCTCCTCTCCAGCTCAGTTTCTCTAAACTGATGAGAGGGGCCAGTTGTACACTGGGGACCTTTTCAGTGTGACACTGAAAATTCTTGGAATCATCCAGTTCAGAGGTTTTCAAACTTTTTTCTTAAAGTAGCATAACTCTTTTCATAAATGTAGTCTACTGCAAAACTTCAGTGTTACACACACAAGCCATTGGGGTGGGGCAAGGAGTACCTGGAGCCCTGCCCACTCAATACCCACTCTCACAGAAAACAAGGCCCTTGGGGAGGGATTCTGCAGGCCAGATGGATGGGGCAGTTGAAGCCTAGAGGAGTGCCATGCCTTACCCAAGTTCATCCAGGGAGATGGCTCAGAGCTGGGTGAGGACATAGGCCCCTGACTGCTGAGCTGGGCTCTGTACCAGGTGTGCACCAGGGCTGTGCCCATGAGAGAAGCCTGGGACCTGCAGCCCAGTCTGGCTCCTTGGGGCCAAGCCAGCTGGTATCAATCAGAGCTCCCCACCAAGATCCAGCAGCAAGTGTTGATCACAACTCTGGCTCACCCGCAAGGCCTCCTGGGAGGCCAGAGGCCAGAGAGGAGGTGAGGAAGGCAGAGGAGGGAGATGCCTGCCAGGCAGCAGTAACCAGGGCTCCCTCTTGAAGTTACCTAGCAACTCACCACCACAGCCACGCCCTGGCATGCCCAGGCTCCCCTAGGGCCCAGAGCTAGGCCCAGCTTCTGTAAGCCTCACACCTCGCACACCTACATCCAGGTTCAGAGCATGTTCCTAGGTGAGATAGGACCTCCCTGATTCGGGGTCCCAGGGAGACCATCTGGGGGAGAGGGAAAGGACAGTGGGTTGCATCCCATGCCCCCACACCATTCTCTTCCAGAACCTGGGCCAGGGAGACCAAACCCCCAGGGCCTCATCCACCAGGGAGAGGAGGCTGGCGCAGAGCTAAGTGCACAGGCACTGGTGTTGGACCTCAGTTTTTGTGTCAGCTCCAACACCTATAAGGGGGCAAGATGCTCTGAAGCTCAATTCCTCCAGTAGCTACCTGCTTCCACCCTCGCTTCCCTACGGCACGCCATGCAGCAGCTAGAGCAATCTTTTAAATAACTGGGATCACGTCTAGTCCTGCCCAGACCCCTCCAATGCCTTCTGTCTCACTCAGAGTAAAGAACAAAGACTTTTCCAGGGCCCACCAGAGCCTCCAGGACCTTTCAGATGTCCTGCTCCATCACTCCCTCCTGTTCCTCAAGCCTGCCAGCCACAGTCCCACCTTCCCCGATACCTACAGATATCTCTCAGCTACTTCAAGTCTTTGTTCAGCTGTCACCTTTTGTAATGTGGCCCATCCTATCTGCTCTTTTAACAATTGCTCCTTTTCCCTAGCATTTCTTGGTCCCCTTACCCTGCTCTAAATTTTTCTAAAGCAATGATGACTTTCTAAATTAATATATAATTTATTTATCCTCTGTTTCCATTATTTATTGTCTGGCAGCCTTTATATTAGAATATGTTTCATGAGAGCAGTGGTTTTTGCCCATTTTGTTACTGTATCCCATGTGTTTGCTGCATACTAGGCACTTAAATGTTTGTCGAGTGAGAGTGTGTGTGTGTAAAGGGGAGTAAAACTGTGTCATAGGGAGAATTAAAAGACTGCGCAGAGTGGCTGGCACACAATCAGGGCTTTTCCCAACTGGGCTAAGAGAACACTGGAACATGAGAAAGGCAGGGGGGTGCAGGAAGGCAGGAACAGTAAGATGTACAGAAGGAACTGCAGAGAGGAATAGGGCTTCTGTGAGAGCTGAGGGAGGGCTCCCAGGGAGAATTAAGCAGCCGCCCTCTCCAGCCTCCACCCTGCTCCCCAGATAGACTTGGATAACCCAAGGCTTGCTCACACCAAGGTCTCTCACAAGGTCTGTGCCACCTGGACCAGAAGATACTCCAAGAGCCCCAGTG